TCTTGCAAAAAGACCGGGTAGTTGGAAAGCCTGACTAGGTTCCCAGGCTAGCCCACAAAGGTCTATTAAACCTCATGGAGCTTAGCTGTATGCCACGTGCTGAGCATCCTGCGCTGGTTATGAAATCTCTCTGACTGCAGCATTTCTGTCTCTCAGGGATGGTAACAGTTACACTCTGTGAGGTAGCTGTGAGGACCATATGAGGTCACCTCCAGCAGCCTGCAGTTCTAGAAGACATGCAATGCATGTAACTGAGATAAAAAGTGCCAGAGAAAGACCGTTTCTGCAAAAGGGCTTCCCCATGCCAGTGACAGTGCCATTTGGGGACTGCTCTGTAATGTTTAGCAGCATCTCTGGCCTCTACCCACAAGATGCCAGCAGCCACCCTCTTTGACACAACTACTTTCCAGGCATCTCAGCCACCATCTGAGGACCATGATTTTCCAGGAAAAGATCCATTGAGCAGTTAGGGACGTCTCTCTTTCTCTCCTGGCCAGATACCCCTAATTCCTGTGGGTTGAGTAGCCAGAGGGGTGCTTCTGAGGGTGAAGAGAAATGACGGTCTTGGAAGTGTTGATGAATGGAGGACAGTGGAGGGAGAGGAGAAGGTGAGGGTCCCCACCTGCATTCCAGTCACCTGCAACAGGACTGTGATCACCTCATAGGTGGCCTCTTCTCCCCTCTCCACGCTTCCCTTTTCACCAACAAGGGGCAGGGGAGCCACCTGTGGAAGCTATGGGAGCAGCAGTAGATCACAGGCAGCTGTCTGGGCACCAGCTGGACACGCGGGAAAATAGATTGGATTTGTCCCCAGGCTTCCCAGATGCTGTGACCTTGAATATGCATCCCACTCTACTTTCTCTCCGATACCCTCCTGACCTCTGTCTCTCCATTTAATTCACTTATCTGTTAAATGATTATGGGCCAAATACCTATTATATGTCTAGCTCTGTAGTAAGTCTCTAAGAATATTTTATTTTATTTTTTTTTACAATCTCCTTTGAAGTGATTCCTTTTTAGGAGGGGATCAAAAAAATCTTAACAAAACACATAGAAGGGAAGACATTGTTGGAAAGGTTCATATATTCAATTGGAAAGACAATGCATCTTTTCACACACAGCCAGGGAATCACAAAAGTCACATACAACATGCTGAGGAGAGATGGAGAAAAACAAAAATCCTTAAAGTTTTAAATCAATGGACTGGATGTGTTGATGTTAAAAGGGGGAGCAGGAAAAGTCAGTCTACACAAAGGGCACCAGAGCCCTGTCTAGCCTTCCAAGGACGAGGGGGTCAAAGAGCTTGCTCAGTACAAGGGCTCCTTTTCCCGGTGGGAACAAGCCTGGCCTCACCTCAATCAAAGCATTACTAAGTTTTCTTCTTGCAATTCCTGGGCACTATCTGTTTCCTTTGTTCATCTCTAGGGAACAGAGCCTAACACTAGAAGCCACTTAAGAACCACGCCCTTCCACCACCATGCATGTGTGTGTACAGGGTCTGTGCAGGGCCAGATAGACACACCACGGGCTGGCTGTCACTTAGCTCCCCCCACCCCACCCCCACCCCTCACCCCCGCCAAAAAAAAAAAAAAAAACCTAGCCAAGCTAAGGAATACTCAAATCATCCTAAAATGACCTCCAAAGCCAAGCCAGGTTACTGCTATAATCTATACACATCTGCCAGCAAGGCAAACAGTGCACAAAAATCAGCAGACATTGCAGGCAGCTGGGGGAGGGACGGGCACACTTAGCTGGATAACCATTTATTTAGAGAAGCTTTGCAAAATGGCGAGTCGGCAAGCAGTTCTTATGTGGCAGACGCAAACGGCAGCATCAAACACAGATGACATCTCAGAACTGTAACCACAGAATTAACCTACAGAAGGTCCACACTTCCTTTACTGCTTTGAGACCCGACAATTGAAAGGGCAGGGCAGGGATCTTGCAAAATTTGGGCAGTTCTGAAAAGCCCAGGCGGGTGCCAAAAGAGATCTGGAGGGAATGGTTTGTCTGTTCCAGCTCCCACCATCCACCCAATGCTAACCAGCCGGAAAAAAAGACTAGGAGCTACAAGTTTCTGAGCGCTAGAGAGTGAATAGGGCCTCGGGGGACATAAAAGGGCTCCCCCATCTGCTGAGGTAGTGGTTGAAGTCTTAGCTCTTGTTGGGTACTTGAACTCCTTTGGATGAGCCCAGGGTGGCTCAGCACGCCACAGCCTCGGCTTCAGCACAAACTCCTAGCTCTGAAGTGAAGCAGGTTTGCTAAAGCTAGGGCCGAGCCAGGAACGGAACCTCTCAATCTCCGCACAAGGGCCAAGCAGCAACCCCTGATGATCTTTCATTAACAACCCAGGCCTTGGCGACCACAGTACGTCACACGACAGCCAATACAGTGCAAAATGGAGCGAATTCGAAGACGCGTGGTCCATGCTTTGTTTCTGCACTTGGTGAAATGTTCTCCATCCCCCCCCCCCCCCCCCCCCCCGTCGATCTCCCACCTACAGGACTGTGACACCTTTGCCCAACTGGCCACAATAGAAAACCTCCCTCTCAGGCTTCCCTATTCCGCGCCCACTCCAAGAGCCTGGCTTCTTCAGGATCAAGAATCCTGCTCCCAGCAGTCCGTCATGGGGTCATATTTGAATCCATCCTTCAGCTGCTCGAAATCTCTATCGGGCGGGCCCAGGCACGACGCCACAGCCTCAGGCCGCGGTCTGGCCGGGAGAGGGCGTTCCACCCCCAGCCGAGACATTTTCAGAAATGCAGATCAAGCTGGGCAGCCGACGTGGGCGATTAGGCCCTTAAGAGGTGCTCGCTTGGTTTCAAAACTGCACGCCTGCACCAGTATTCAGTGGTAGAATTAACCAGAAAACCTCGAAGACTGGGGCTTACTGCAGGATGGGGGAGGCTGCTAGGACCTGTTCGATTTCCATCCCTCTCCGGTTTCAAGGGGGGGTTGTAAATGTGGACTTTTAAGTGAAAGTCCCTCATTTAAATAATATTAACAAAATAATGTCAGTCAGTATGCCTATAATAAAAATACAGCAGATGTGCCTATCTGGATGGCTGTGGTTGCCAGTGCCGATGAGACTAATGCTCAGGTCAGGGATGGGGAGCTCCTTCCCCGGAGTCTTCCAATAGGACAAGCTGGCACTGACAGTCTACCCCAGGATTCCGACTCTCTGCTGAGTAAGGGGCCGGGTAACGCCCAGAGGTTCCTCCTCTGGCTGGTATGGTTCCCATGGCAACCCCTAACCCTCCCCCCTCTTCCCCATGGGTTGGGAGGGATGGGTGTGGCCGCTGCATCCCAGGGCCCCTCCTCACACTCTCCCACCGGGAGAGGCAAGAGGTCTCAAAGGTGGTGGTGGGGAAGCCAAGTTTGCCGAATCTCCCCCATTCCCGAGGGGGATGGAGCCCCTAGCAGTGAAACATGGTGGGGTGTTGTCCCCAGGACTCCCTGGATGTGGGGAGGGATGTGGTTCCTCTGAGGACACCTGCACACGAGAATCCACCTCGAATACCACCCGTGTGGCTCAGTTAACGCTCCCGGAAGCTGTGCCGAACTGGGGGAGAGGGATGCGCGGGTTCACATACATTCCATGCGTGCCCTGGGGGCTGTGACTAGACCCCAGCAGGTCAGTAGATCCAACAAAGGGTCTGAAATGAGTGGTGTGGGAAAAAAAACGACGGAGCTGCGCGCCGCGCGTGGGTAAATATCCTCGTCGAACGAAAGCCAAAAAACCAGGGCTAGGAGGGCAGATCCTAAATCACACAACCTCTACGAACAAAGCAGCAAGCTCCCTACGAAGACCCCAGGTGAACGACCGGGTGAGCATGGCGCAGAAGCTAAACGCCAGGATCATCATGACCCTGCTCTTCTCTGCGGGTCCTCCAAAGCCCGGCCACGGCACTTGGCACGCTACGATAGAGACGTGACTCGCCGCAAAAAGATGGCACCTCGCGTTCAGAGGGGGAAAAAACCGGGGGAGGGGTAGCAGCGGGGAGGAGACACATCCTACTCTCCCCCTCCTCTCCCACCCAGGTCCACACCCACTGCCGCAGTGAGGGGCGAGCCCTGCGCGCCAGCTCGTGCCTCCGGCAGGGAGCGCACAAGCCGGGAGCCGGGAGCAGAACGCAGAGAAAGGAATCCGCCCTGAAATGCACCTGCAGCCCCTGCGCAGGTCTGTGCTGGGCTGTGACGGTGTGAGCCCTCGAGCGGGGAACCGCGGCTGGCAAGCCCGCAGACACCGCGAGGCCAGGTGATCGATCCCTGCCTCCGAGCTTCCACATTGGGATCCGCGCACTACCTTCTCTCGGGCACGGGGCTGCCCCTGTCACTGTACCAAGCGCGCGCAGGGGGAAGGGCGGCTAAAGTGACAGCGCCTGGACCCCTCCCCATCCTCTCGATTCCTCCCAGCCCCCAAATGTCCCCTGCCGGCTTCTGAAGGAGGAAAAGGGGAGGGGGCGGGACACCGCCTTAAATCAGGGCCAGTGAAGGCCCGTCAGAGTCCCTGTCAGGGAGGTGTGGGAAGAGGCATGCAGGCAGTCATCTTTTCTAGGATCCAATCCACACCTTCCTTGGGACTGATGGCAATCGGGGACAGAGAAATCTGATTTTAGGTTCAGTTTCGGGAGTCATCATTGGACCCCCATCCACACACACAGACCCACGCCCATTGCGGCAAAAGCTGTGATCCAGAGCACAGAAAAACCCCCTCCCTTAGGTCACCGCCATCCGCGCCCCACCCTGCTGGCACAGACGCCCCCTCCCCCCGTTTGCGTGGAATGGATGGTGCGGACCCCAGCACACACAGACACACGCATTCACCCGCGTGCGTACATCTTTTGCACGCGTTTCCTTCCCAGCTCCCTAGCGCCGAGGCCCCCTCCGTTGCGTCTGACTGATGCCCAGCGCCCTAAATCCATATTGGGGCGAGGGGCGGCAGGAGGATGACGCACAGGGGGCAGATGGGGATCGGATTTCAGAGCTGCGGCACTTACCTGATGATCGACAGAAGGCGAGGACAGAAGAGGACAGAGGAGGAGAAGGTGGCTGTGGCGGCGGCGGCGGCAGAAGGTGGGCGGTGGCGGCGGCGCTGCTGCTGGTGCCGGAGCTAGTGGGTGGCGGAGACTGGGAGCGCGCGCGCCGCCGAGAGAGCGCGTTCCCGAGGCCGGCGGGCGGCGCAGGCGCGAGCCACGGGAGCGCGACACTCGCGAGGGGAGGGGCGGGCAGTGAGGCCTGCGGGGCGCCTCCCCCTCCGGCCACCAGAGGGCGCGCGCGAGCGACCCACAGCCCTCCATCCCCATCCCCGCGCCGCCAGGCTTCGCCCTGCTCCTCGCTTCCCTTCTCGGGTCCCGCCACGCCTCGGGCCTCCGCTCTGACCGCCGCGCGCACGCGCGTGCTCCGTGGCGCACGCGCACCCCGGCCTCCTGGGGCTGCAGCCTTTGTCTAGTCCAGGGGTCTCCTCCCTCTGTCCCCGTGGGTTCGAGGCGGAGCGGCGTGCCGGTCCTTGTTGGCTTTTCAGCTCACTTTTGCAGGCTCGCCCGGCGGCACTCGTTGGACCCCCCCCCCCCCCTCCCGAGGCCTCTTGCTGGCGTCTCCCAAAATGTGGTCCTCTGGATAAAGGCCACTTTTCCAAGGGCCGCTGTTTGCTTGCTTTCTTCTCGCCCCCCCTTTTTTTTTGGTTAATGGCCAAAGTGAATTATTTCTTTGACAAATCCTCTTGAAACAGATTAACTTTGATCATAATACAGTTTAGAATTTTCTTGCAAAAAAAATTTTTTTTTAAGTCAAGGAGCATTCAAACCCACTAGGTATCTTAACCGTGACCCTAGGGAAGAAAAATCTTCAAATAGATAAGTTTTAATGATGGCTTACCACACTGCAAAGCATTTTCACAGTTATTTTTATCTCGTTTGTTGAGACACCTTTGAGAGCTGAATTTTTAAGGTGCTTGCTGGAGATGGCCACTTGCTGGATGTCAGGCTTCCGCGTGGAAATTGGGCATTAGTCCTCTTTCTAGCCAGGTAGCCGTGGGCTGTGGCTGTGGTTTGTTTCTCATCTCCCCAAAGCCCAAAGCTCTTGGACAGCTGGAGCCTGTTCAGATGCAAGGACCAGCACCCAAATGGCATCTCACAACTGTCTGCAGATCTGGGGGGTCCCACACCTTCTTCCAGATTTTAAGGGCACTAGGCATGCCCGTGGTACACATACATACATGCATGCATACTTAGCAGCAAAACATGGAAAAATCTTTGAACCAAATAATATGCAAGGCTTTGGGCTCAATTTTTCTGGCGCCACCAACTTTTTCCTATGGATTTAATTACTGTAATGTCTTGGGGGCTCCGGGTGGATGATGGAAGCGGCTCTCACTTCTTAAGTCTCGGGTTCTGAACTTCTAGGTCTGACCTTGCTTTTGTTCTAGCTCTCACCACCCTGCTTCAAGACTCCTGCTTCAGTTCTGACATCTAGGACCTTAGTGGTCTTCCCGCTCTCAGTTTCCCCTCTCTCCGCCCACCTGCACTCCTGGTCAGATCAGTTTTCAGATGTGATCCCTTCCTTCATGGCAGTCTCTCGCCCAAAGATGTCTCCCAGCTTCCAGACAGGTGCACTCAGACTCCTTGACCCAGCATTCAATTTGCCCCTTGATCAAAACACCCCTCCGTTCCACTTTTCTAGATCACTAACTCTGTGGCTGGGCTGCTTAACTAAATCCCTTCCCTACCTCTGTGCTCTGGGGTTCCTCTTGCCGACAAGTTCCCTGTTCTTTCTCCTACCCACAAATACCTACCTAACCTTCAAAATCAAGCTCAGATTTTAACAAAGCCGTTTCCTGTCGCCCCAAGTGGAAGGGATATTTCTGGTCTCTACAGAGGAACTTAGCCAAATTGTTCCCGAGAAGAGGAACTTGCAGGGCTGGCATTTTATTGTTGTCTCCAGTAGTTGCTTTTTCCTGGGTGGGGAATCATACACCCTTGTCCGTTATCAGCTACGTGATGCGGACCTGTCCAAACAGAAACGTAAGACATGGCAAGTTTCTGTGTTTGACTTCCTTCCCACTACTAAAAAGACATGTTGCCTGGGGCTGCTCCCACAGCCCAGATCCTGGAGTGGAAAGTCCTAAGGGCCTAGTACATACAACATGAGCAAAAGTTAAAATTTGTTGCAGAAGCCACCAAGATTTTGGGAGCTGGTTGCTAGCATGACAAATCTGACTATGGCAATTTAATAAGTGTGTGTGTGTGTGTGTGTGTGTGTGTGTGTCTGGTTTCTTATACAGTAACAACTTGCACTCACTAAATGATAAATTGTATTTATGTCATTATCATCTTCAAGGTCAATGCTTTTGTTACACTTTATTTTCTTAATATGTGTCATCTGGAACCATCAAAGTGACACTCCTTCACATTCAAACTTATCATTATGAGCCCTTAGTAGAGAGTATGATGGAGAACTGTCAAGGACCTAATGACACTGTAGTCCCCCGATACCGAATGTTCACATTTGCCCACACTAAATGGAGGTAATGAATGCTAGAAAGAGTTGTGAGCGAGTCTGTCCTTTAAATGTATGTGATGTGGAGTTGAGTGTTCATTCCAGATAATTTGATCACTGTGGGTAGCTAATGGCTCGCTAATGCAGGCCAAGAAAATGTATCCCCTTCCATCCCTCTGCCCCTCCCTCCTGCTGAAATAGAAAGCTCATGGCCTCTTGGGTCCAGCACAAACATACACATGCAGGACTGTAGAAGGCAGTTTAGCATAAGGGAAAGGAAATGGACAGGGGTAGCAGGAACTGTGTGCCCAATCTCAGCCATCACATGTGAGGTTAGACAAATTCATTACCTTTTCCTGGCTTCAGTTCCTTTATTGAATAGTCTCAGATGGGGTTATGTAGTGATGAGCTGCGGGCACCCCAGATCGATAGTCTGGAAGCTCTGCCACTAAATGTATTCACACACACACACATACACACACACAAAACCTGAGACACTGAGACAGACGGATCCTAACTAATGGTTCCAACCAGACTCCAGTGGTACAGGTACGCACTCCAGGTCAGGGTATGTAAATTCTCCTTCCCTGAGAGATTATGGAAACAGGCCCCTTCCATTGTATGCCTCTACCACTTCTCAGAGCCTTGTTCTTCCTGGGGACGAAGTTGGGTTGTTACTTATGGGTCCATCTGGAGGCAGGGGAGAAGCGTGTGGAGGAGGTACTGGTTGTCCCGGAGGCTGGCATGGGATCACTTTAGTTATATGGTCGTCCCCAACTGAAAGATCAATAAATGTAGGAGACTTGTGAGTTCTGGATTTCAGTAAATGCCACTGTCCACCTTCGTTGGTGGGAGCTAAACGCACCCTGGGAAAACTGAACTTGAATCTGTTATGAGACTGTATGGATGTGATGAGTGTGTTGGGAGACCATGGAGGACGGAGGGTGGAAAGCTACTAGAGAAAGATGAAGCCAGTTTCTCTTAAGAAAGAAGGTCATGCTCATACTTCTGTTATCAGAGAGTGATCATTTTAGTTAGGTTTCTATTGCTGCACCAAAACACCATGACCACAAAGGAAGTTGGGAAGAAGAAGGTTTATTTGGCTTACACTATCACATTGCTGTTCATCACCAAAGGAAGTCAGGACAGGAACTCAAACAGGGAGGAACCTGGAGGCAGGAGCTGATGCAGAGGACATGGAGGGATGCTGGTTACTGGCTCGATCCTCATAGCTTGCTCAGCCTGCTTTCTTATAGAACCCAGGAGCACCTGCCTAGGGATGGCACCACCCACAATGGCCTGGGCCCTCCTCATTGACCACTAACTGAGAAAATGCTTTACAACCGAATCTCATTGAGGCATTTCCTCAACTGAGGCTCCTTCCTCTCTGATGATTGTAGCTGTGCCAAGTTGATACCTCAGACCAGCCACAGTACAGTGGTTCACCTGTTTCACACCATAGAATCCTTTAACATCTCAGGAAATCCCTTTTCAGATAACGTTTTTAAACACATAAAGAAAAAAATGTATAATTGCCAGCTAGAGGACTGGATCAGTGGTTAGAGCGCTCACCGTTCTTGCAGAGGATCCAGATGTGGTACCCAGCATCCACATTTGGTGGCTCATAACTGCTTGTAACTACAATTTCAGGGGATCTGACACTCTCTGGCCTCTACAAGCACCTGCATGCATTTGCTACATATAACTATGTACACACACACATACACACACTTTAGAATGTGTACATTACATAGCATACTTTATTTTCTTTCTTTTCTATTTTTATTTTTTTTCCTTTTGGTTTTTCAAGACAGGGTTTCTTGAAGATCTCTTCTGTAGACCAAGCTGGCCTTGAACTCATAGAGATCTGCCTGCCTCTGCCTCCCAAGTGTTGGGATTAAAGGTGTGTGCCACCGCCGCCTGACACATAGCATGCATTTTATGTATGGTTATCAAAACATTAAATCACCATGCTACAGTGTGTGATGACATGAAGATGTGCTGCCCAGATCTTCAGGGAGGACATGCCCAGTTCTGGGGAACTCAGACAGGCCCTTGGCTGTTCAGACCTCCAGGGATAGCCTCAGCTACAAAAGTCCCCCTCTTCATGGTGGCACATACCTATAATTCCAACAGTCAGGAGGTAGAGATAGAAGAATCAGAAGTTCAAGATCATCCTAGGCTATTGTGCAAGTCTAAGGCTAGCCTGGGCTACATGACACCATCTCAAAAACAAACCAAAAATAAATAAATTCTCCTGTTCTGGGAAGCCCCATACTCAACGACTGATAGAGATGTGGGAATAAAGGCCAGGTCCTCTTGGCCCCACAGACACTCATATGGTTCATGTTAACTTTAGAAGAAGCCCAGCTCTGCCAGGCTGTTTCATGGTGAACGGAGGCTCAGCTTTTCCTGGCTCCAGCCTGGGCGGGTGTTGATAGAACATTCTAGTAAACAGATTCTTTGCTGCTTATGACCTTCAACCCAGGACAACTGGTCTTAGTAATAGACCAAGAGAGGGGACTGGAGAGATGCCTTAGAGGTTAAGAGCACTGGCTGCTCTTCCAGAGGACCTGGGTTCGATTTCCAGGACCCACATGGCAGCTCACAACTGTCTGTAACTCCATTCTAGCTGATCCAGCTCCCTCACATGGACATACCTGCAGGCAGAACACCAATGCACATAAAATAAAAATAAATAAAAAAATCGTCCAAG